CATCCTCACAATTGTTGTTATGCTTGAGCCTATTGTTGCAGCCACTATGTCAATCCATCTCATTGAGGATTTTTGCCAAGGAAACCCTATGATGCAGTTCTATTACGTCACATGAGGTCACTATGAGTTGAAATCGATTCAATGGTACCTAACAACAACAACAAGTTTTATTGTAAATAATATACAATGCAAAAGAAATTGTCCAACTGTGTACAGTTGCATACTGAGTTTGTTTTTCAGCATGCAGACATGGCATGGATATTTAGGCTTAAAAATTTTAGTTGCTATCCTATGTGCAATGAGAAGTATTTTATAAATTTAATTGGAGATGAGTATGTGTATATAGGAAGATGGTGAAATGTTGTACATTTTATAACAATCAGTCTGGTGTCAGTGTGAAAAATGGATTGGATGAGTGTATTAAAGATGCAGACATGCAGTTAGGAGATTATTTAATCAGTGTTGGCAAGAGATGAATGTATCTTGGATTTGAGGGGCAAAGTGGAGACAGTGAGAAATAGTTACATAGCGAATAGTTGCACTTAAGACATGTTTATCAGATAAAATCTAGAGAATTTGGCAATGGTTGAAACAATGGGACTGAGGGAGAGGTTAGTGTCAAGGATGTCTTCCTGGTTCATCATTTGCATAACTGCTTGTTTGCTGACCCCATTCCCTGAGGTAGGGAACATTGTAAGAAAAACAGGTTTGGGGGTGGGATGGGGAAAATCTTCATTTCAGATTTGGACGTGTTAATTATAAAATACCACTGAGAGTTCCAAATGGACAAGTCAAGTAGATAATTGGGTAGTGATACCATTAAGTGAGATAAGAGGAAGAAAAACCAATTTATTCTAAACCCTGTTAAGTGGTGTTTTAAAACATGCCCCTAACAGTGAACCCTGAGAACCCAAAGTGTAATTTTAATTGTTACAACTTGTTGTGTCTGGGTGATTTGATGATTAGCTCACAATGCCCAGTAGAACAAGTTTGACATCATCCTTTGGGAATCCTTTAGAAACACTGAGGGAATATCAGATATTTTTAAAGTATTGGTTTTAAAACAGAAGAAAGAATTGCTACCTTGCTCCAGTTTGTAATTTCCAAGGAAAATCAATGCACAAGTAATACTATCTCATTTATGCGACTTTTGTTACTTTGAGAAAATGAGCAAATTTTCAGTTTACCAACATTTTACAGAAACTGCGTGAGAGTGCAGATAATTTCATAATTGTACCTTTGCAGTTCGTCTATGTAATAAAAAGGTGACTAAGTAAAAAAATTAAAATCCTAGGCAGGCTTTACTTTAATCAGTAATCAAACTACGCATAGACTGAAATAAATGCCTGTCAGTAAGAATTTCTACTGTGTTGGTAACAGGCTTATTGGAATGTTTTTAAATTTTTAAATAATAAACTTTGAATAATAGAAAAACGAAGAAAATGGAAACATTAAGTAATAACGATAACAATAATTCAACATCTGCAGAATTTAATTTATAATGTGAAAAGTTTTCTTAATTGAGACTTAAGCTATGGAGTTCAAATCTAATTCATTTACAATTTTTCAAAGTGAGACTAATTCTGGTTTTAAGTTTGTGGCCGATTATAATAAAAAATCTTCAATTTTATGGAATCATGAGAATATGGACTGAAGTCACTGACAGCAACTTAACGAGCCTCTTTGTGTTATCTATCAGGTAACTCTTGAGAGAAAATTAAGAGGCTTCCTATTTCTTGGCCAAATTATACAGTGTAGGTGCTAAAATTAGGAATATCAATAATTTGGTTATTGGATGTTACAAGGAAAATTGAGCCAGTTTATTCAGGGCAAGTATCTGTTAACGTACTTATTTTCGGTTAATATTGTGATTGTGTTGTACATACTAGGGCTCCCCGTGGCTATATATTAAAAGCAAAAATTTTAAAACTGATTAACTCTTTGCATATTTACAGTGATGATAGGCTAACATTTCATAATTCTTCCTTATGTTAATCATTAATTCTTAGAAAAAGAATGTTTATTCATATTTATAAATTACATAAACCCAGTTTTCTAACATATTCTCATAATAAAAATTTTTTATGTTCCCTACGTATTGAGAGTTGTGCCTGTAAAATTATGAAAATGTTTTTTCAACACCATAACAATCTGTATACCTAAATGCATTTATTTTTCCTTTCAAGGTAATCTAGAAGATTGTATATTCACCAGAAAACTTGTTTTTAGAGTTTCTTTTACCAACTATTCATAAATCATGAAACAAAATCAGTCTAATTACTTCATGCAAACATCAAATGTTACGTTCAAAACAGTGACAAAACTATAAAGTATGTAGGAATAAATTTAAGAAGAAAATTACTAAAAATTACAAAAAAAACTCTTCTGTTACTCTTTTTGAATTTCTACCTTATACAATTACAGATAACGTTTGAGTATTAAAAAAAAAAAATCACATCTGCTCTCAATGGCCAAAGGTCTGCTCCCATCGGTAATATTCGAAAGAATATGCTAAATTCCTAGAAGCCTATTTCTGCATTCAGCATATATTTATGCAGGAAAGTTACAGGTGCCTAAATACTAATTTCCCCATGGACTTCTAAGTGCCACAGCATCTCCTTAAAAAAGCACCTGTAGGATTTAATTTGTTCTTGTTTCTTTTTTCACTATTAACTTGTTGGAGACCATCCTTTCATACACCCCTTTATATGTGTTTAGATGGTTGTGCACACATATAAATATACTACATAATTTTGTGTGAAAGGTATAATGTACATGCTCTCTGCTCCCCTTGCCACAGAACTCTTATTTTCACTTATCCTTCTTCTCCTCTCCTCTACTTCTTCCATTACATACCCACTTATTTCCAGAAAAATGAGTATTATAAACAGTGTTTATCATCATCATTTTTCTCCATGCAAAAGAGATTGAAAAATGCATGGCTTGTTTTATAGTATTGTGATCATATTATTTGCTCTTCCGTGTATCTTACTCATCATAAATAACTATACATTGTGGAAATTTTCAGTTCCAATGGTATAGCTCTTTTTTCCATGATTGAATTATATTCCAAAATATGAATATACTGTGATTTGTTGAACCATTTTACTATTGATGCGTCTGGGCTTTGCCACCTTGAGCAATGATGCATTGGCTATTATTTGTTTATTTATGTTTGTGAAGTGGTGCTTTTATTTCTGTAGTAGCTCAAAGGGCATATTATCTTTTTAAAAATTTAATGGGGTAATATAAAAGTTTTTAAAAATGCCTGTTGCAATTCATATTTCGATGAGTAATACATGAAAGTACTAAATTTCTCAACTTAGCGGTATTTTTACTCATTCTAATTTCTGGCAATCTGATACATGAGAAAGCAGGTGTGTGTGTGGAGGGGAGGGGTTGTGCTGCACATGTGTATCTGGCATGTAGAAAGCTGAGCATGTTTTCATGTATTTATTGGCCATTTTGATTTGTCCATCTGTAAACATGTCTATTCAGATCCTCTACTTTTTTCTTATCTATGTTTAAGTTATTTTATATTATATTCATTAGTACTTATCTTTCATATACATGGTAAAATATATTTCCTATTTATGTATATGTCCTTTGACTCTGTTCAGATACTGTTTAGCTATGCATTAAAATTAAATTGTAACCATGTTTTTATAATGGCTTTCTTCTCTTGGTTAAGAGTTTCTATTCCTATTTTACATTATTGTCTCCTAAATATCTTAGAAAATATCCATGGTGCAAGGTGGGGGACCAATTTGATTTACTTCGAGACAGACAGCCAACAGTGCCAGCATTATTCATTAAATCAATCACCCTTTTCTTACTGAATTGAAATATCATATTTGTTTTATGTCATAGTCCCATGTATGTTAATCAATGTACCAACTCTCTCTTCTATTGCACTAAGCCTCTTGTATACACTCGGGCAAAAACAAAAAGGAATTGTTACTATGGTTTTACATGATAGTTCAATATCCATTAAGGTACTGTTGACTATTCTTACTATTAAAATTTTTTCTTCATCTTTTCAAACACTATTTTTTCTTTCATGTGAATTTTAAGATAAGGGTATGTTGTTCTAAAATACCCAATAAAATTGAAAACTATTTTCATTAAATTTGTGTTACCATAGGTGAATTAGCACTTAAAAACTTTTTATTACGGATAATATTGTATATATGTAAAAGTAGACAAATGAAATAAAAATTGAGAACTAAATAAATGAGAAATATCTTAGAAATATGTAAGTCACGAAAAAAGTTACCATCTTTTATGACTCTTCTGTGACTGTTATCCTCACTTATTCTTTCATTTCAGCGATTGCACAGGGTGGATATGGCAGAAGAAAATGAGACTCTAGTGACAGAGTTTGTGCTCATGGACTTACGGATCGTCCAGAGCTGCAGGTCCCCCTGTTCCTGGTGTTCTTGGTGATCCACCTCACCACCATGGTGGGAAACCTTGGGCTGACTGCCCTCATCCGAAAGGACCCCTATCTTCACAGGCCCGTGTACTTATTCCTTTGCAATTTAGCCTTTGCAGATTCTTACACTTCATCCTCTGTGACTCCTAAGATGCTTATGAATTTTTTATCCAAGAATCATGTCATTTCCATTTGTGACTGTATAGCTCAATTATATTTTTTTGGTTCCAGTGCAACCACAGAATGTTTCCTCCTGTTAGTGATGGCATATGACCGCTATGTTGCCATATGCAACCCCTTGCTTTATCCGGTGGTGAAGTCCAATAGCCTCTGTACTCAACTCATAGGTGTTTCATATGTTATTGGTTTTCTGCATTCCATAATACATGTGACTTTGTTATTTAGATTAACTTTCTGCAGATCCAATATAATACAATATTTCTACCGTGAAATTTTACAATTGTTCAAAATTTCTTGCACTGATCCTATAATTAATACATTTCTGATTTTAATTTTTTCAGCCTTTATACAAGTCTTTACTTTTATGGCCATCATAGTCTCTTATACCTGTGTCCTCTTTGCCATTCTGAAAAAGAAGTCTGAAAAGAGCAGAAGCAAAGCCTTCTCCACGTGCAGTGCCCATCTACTCTCTGCCTCTGTTCTACGGCACTCTCTTCTTCATGTATGTGCGTACTGGGTCTGGCCCAGATGAAAATCAGGACAAGATGTATTCTTTATTTTACACGATAGTAATTCCCCTACTAAATCCTTTTATTTACAGCCTGAGAAACAAAGAGGTTATAAGTACCTTGAAAAGGATGATGAAGAAATAAACAATTGTCAGGCAGTTTTCAAACTTTTTTCTTCACTGTTTGCTCAAATACTGAAGACAGCCCATGGATTAGCTATGGCTCTGCCTTGTCCTCAGTTCTCTGTGTGAAGGAGCCCAGCTTCTTACACTGGTTACTTGGAAATGGTCCAGTGAACATTTGGTAGCATCACTCTTATCCAAGTTAATTGGAAATATTTTTTCTCCATTTTTTAATTTAAGCATTTAGCTGTTGCAAATTAGGTATTTGCCAGGGAATTCAGAATTACAGGTAGTAATTGACAATTTTACTAAGAAATGGCTGTAACTGAGGCTGGCATATAGGGTGCATCACTTAGCTATTCTTACCCCATAAGAATACTTGTATAATGAAATTGCCCTGGGACTACCTGGTTCCATTTCAATGGATTACATAGTTCCCCAATTGCAATTGTTTTAAATCCTTAATAAACCTCCATGTTTTAACTTGAAAGAGCATTCAAGTTTTTCTCTACAGTATTGTTGTTGTTGTTAATTGCCTTCAACTCATTTCCGACTCATTGCAACCCCATATGTGCAGAGTAGAACTGCTCCATACTCTGGCAAATTCATAAAAATAAAACTCTGCCTCTTGACAAAATATATTCCTGAGAATAAATTTACTATTTAGTGATAAAAGTGGGTAAAAAGTAAAAAGATTAAAAAAAAAGAATGGCTCTTAGGAAGAAAAATGGAAACTGGCATGATTCAAAGAGTGGAGCATCAAAATAAATCACAGCTCATATTTATAACTTCACATCCTATTTTTATTAGGAATGTTGCATGTACCATGATATTCTGTGATAAATAAATTTAGGAATCTCTCAGGATATATTTGCATGCAATAAAGAGCACTTTCCTAGACTGGCCTTATAATTGCATTATTATTCCTATCAGTTTTAACAGGAGCTGAAAAGGCAGAAAAAGAGTCTAGATGAGGAACAAGAAACTAGGGTAGTATATAAAAATATGGGTGAAAAAGAGTATCAAAAATTCTGAATTAATAATTTACTTCCAATTCAGGAACATGATGATATATATTTTTCTATTTGTTTTAGAATTATTACACAGACAGAGCCTATTTTAATTCATATTTTAGTAAAACTCAATTTTATTTCGTTAGCAATCTGCTTTTTTCAACATATTCACTTAGAAAAAATAATTATACAAAGTGAGAATTAAGCATAAGTTGTTGAAGAATAAAAATATGCCTATTCATCTAGCATTTTTAAATCACATTAGCTTTTGCCTTGTCAATGGCTCCAACAAATATACTGAAATTATTTGTCTAAAGATTTAAGCATATAAAAATACCTTTTATCATTTAAATTTATTTATCATATGAATATTACTAGAAAAAACATCAATTTGTATGGGTCTCAAGATTTACCACAATAGGTCACTATCAACAAAATTTCCTTTAAAAATACCCCACACGATTGCGTTTCCTTTCCTTTTTTTTAAATCGTGCTTTAAGTGAAAGTATAGAGTTCAAGTTAGTTTCTCTTACAAAAATTTATACACACATTGCTATGTGACCATAGTTGCTCTCCATATCATGTGACAGCACACTCCTCCTTTCTACCCCAGATTTCCTGTGTCCATTCAACCAGCTCCTATCCCTTTTTGCTTTCTTATCTCACGTCCGGACAGGAGCTGCCCATTTAGTCTCATGTATCTACTTGAGCTAAGAAGCACTCTTTTCACGAGTAACATTTTATGTCTTATAGTCCTGTCTAATCTATGTCTGAAGAGTTGGATTTGGGAAAGGTTTCAGTTCTGGGCTAACAGAGAGTCCAGGGGCCATGTCTTCCAGGGTCCCTCCAATCTCAGTCAGACCATTAAGTTTGG